CATCCCCACAGCCCCAACCCCCACGTGCAGGCGTCCAATCAGCAGCACATCAACTGTAAAACAGCTGGCTGGTGGTCGGGGAATCAGCGGTCGGTCTCATTTGGTTAAAAAATTCCTTAGCCGCTACATACACCAGACCCGCCACTGCGACAATGGCTGCCCACAGGTTTTGACCGAGCCACGCGTGACAGTTTTAGCCAGCGTGCTGAGCAGCCACGCGAGACGATGCTACCCAGGATGCGGGCAGGGCTTCGCGGCCTTACCAGCGAAGTTTAGCCAGGGCCTCCCGAGGGATTTCAGATGTTTTTATCCAGTCTCTAACATCACCGCCACTTGGTGGTGTGGGTGGTGGGGATTGGGGGCACCACCCCACTCAGCGATACAACCAGCGTTGATATGATGAAGCCCAATGCAGTTAAAATGCTGGCGATAGTAATCCCTTGCTCCCAGAAGAGGATTCGGATCCTGTTGGCCAACGTGGTGTCTTCATTCAGGACTCGATTGATAGTTTCCCGCGACGCTGCTGATCTGGGATCGAAGCTGTTCCCGGTTCGAGGAAGTGGATTCCAACTGAGTCCGTCTCTCATCTTGCAAGTTGTTACAATCCTTTTTCGATGATGGTTTTCAGAGACTCGTCAGCCTGACTGAGTTGTTTTTTTTTCGGCGATGTGCTCATCAATTTACGCTTCAGTTTCCCCATCTTGTTCACGAGTTCTCCGAAAATACATTTCAAGGCTTCGTCTAGGGCCGCGTACAGTTCCCTCAGGGGAAATCGAGACCCAGGAAAGGCTTGTTCCAGCGTGGGCCAATATTTTTCGAGACTGTCTGATGTTTCTTTAGCACGCTGGGGCATATCACCTTCACCGCTGAGTTTCGACCCTGGCTGCTTGCAGATCTTCGACGACCTTCGGAGGAAGCTTAGGCCGTCGCCACCGTAATCTGTGAAGCCTAGTTCATCACGGATCAGTTGACTCCCACCAGGGCTGACTGGTGAGTGTTGACAAAGCATACGGGCCTTTCAGCGTCTTTTTCATGATATCGACCCCGGGTGAGCCCCTCAATCGCGAGGCGTGCCCTTCTTATCGACGGTTAACTTCGTAAGTCTGCTATCAGTGAAGACGAGAAAAAAGTACATAGAACAGAGTGCGAAAAGCCCAGCAAGCCTTCATTCACGAACACCAAAGAGATCATGAAGGCTGATTCACATTAAACTGTTTCATCGAGGTCAACACAACATAGGGGCGATCACAATAGTGCCACGCGTGATCAGGAAAGTGTCGGTTCAAGGTCATAGTGAACAGGAAGTTAACTGGGGTTCAAAACTGGTATATACAATACGAGGGAGAGATAAGGGCCTGACAAAAGCTTTATTTTGTGAATGAAGCTTTACAGAGGCTTTGTTGGAAATTATCTAGTACCCCATTGTGTATACTACTATATAGAACAAACTTTATGGATAACAACTTCTTTTTATTCGTGAGTGCGACGTTTCGATACAGATTCTTGTACCGTTGTCAAGCATAATGGAACATGAAGAAGGGGGAAGTACATATATACTGGATGTAACAATGTAACAAAGAAAACAACATAATTAACATAATTGGCTAAGCAGAAAGCTGTTGAAAGCTGGATGTTATCCATAAAGTTTGTTCTATATTGTACTTCCCAACTTCTAAAATGCCACTCAAAGAAATGCTTTTTCTCAGTTGCTCTATTCTTGAATTCATACCATCTAAGATACACCTCAGAATCCATAGAAACATGACATCCTCCACTAATAATATCCAAGGAAACATTGCCAGCCTAAAGACTTCTAATTTGTTGTAAGACTCTCCATACTACATTTCCCCTCCCCAAAATGTCCCAATGATTTTTCTGACATGAAACATGATAAAGGTTTTGATCTCATTCCCCATGCATAAATATATCACTCACCAGTGATGTGAAATATTTTGATTTCTTTCAGACATATTTGGCATTTTTGCTTCTGATATTTCAATATTTATCAATAATCAATCGATATCTAATGATTATTGATGTCTATGATCTGTACTGATCGCCAGCTTGAGTCTGGGTAATATTATGACACAAAACAGCCGAACACGGAAGAGGACCCCTACTTACTGATTTCAAGAGAGTGTACTTGAAATATGAGTGAGTGAGTTGGGGTTTTTTTTAACGCCACACTCAGCAATATTCCAGCTATATGGCGGTGGTCTGTAAATAATCGAGTCTGGACCAGACAATCCAGTGATCAACAGCATGAGCATCGATCTGCGCAATTGGGAACCGATCCCGTTAGTCACCTCTTACGACAAGCATGGGTTACTGAAGGTTCATTCGAACCCGGACCTTCACGGGTACTTGAAATATGAGGGTCCTATAAAGTGATGAAATGATGTAGTCTGTACTGGAAGGTTTAATGACTACCAGTACAGTCTTGCCCCCGTTTATCCTAACCTCATATCTGGAAAACTTGCCTTCCGAACGAAAAAATTCATTAAAAGCGAATTCACAACGTTGTAAAACTACTCACTTAACCGAAATCCGGTTTCCGTAACCTGACGGTCATTTTCACATACCAAATGCTAAATCATATGCATTTTTCTCTCAGATATCCGGTTGGCTGAGCACCTGTCAGTATGTTTACACACGCATTTTACTGAGTGGCCTTGGCGCGCCCTAACATGAAACGAGGGTTACAAGCCGGCATTCTTTGAAGGGTGAGAGGATTAACTGCCCTTAATTAGCAAGGTGACACTGAGTTAATCTTGAAGCGTGTCAATTGGTGGGTCACTATAATTACGCTGATGAATTCTTGTCTGATCAGAAACGTTGTCTGTCAACATGGCAAGCCAACCAACAAAGCGTAAACGCCATGCCATTACACCGAGAAAAAAAGACAATCAGTGACATTTTAAAAGACAAATCAAGATGGCTAGAAATTCCCTAAAGCTCATCGGAGTTATCACCTGCTTTCGAAATGCTAAACATCAAAATATGGAAGACGCCCAGTTTATTTTTGGATTTGTGATGTGACCAGCATATTGACTTGACTACTGTATTTGACAAGATCTGATTTTATGTATGTATTTGTTATTTGTTGATCAATCAATCAATAAAGAATACGCCTGAGGCTTATTATGTTCGTTTGTTTGTCTTTTTCCATATGGGCCTCGGTTCAGATATCTTGAAAAATTCGCTTATCCTAACAATTTCAAGAAAAACATAAGTGTTCGGATAAACGGGCACGACTGTACTTTCATTACAAGAACTTTATATTTCTTGTCACAAATTTTTAACAATGAATATCATTGTGCGTCCCAGGGAACACAGTATATGTAATTTTCTGTGTTCATTCTACACATATTTGCGCATTAGACACACATTTCTGAGTGGCGTAAAACTCTGATTAACATATGCAAGCATTTAATAAGTGCCTCCCTTTGTCTTCAATCTAACTGCTTTGGGCACTTAGTACAGTGTATACAGCATAAGGCCTTTAAAGCATAGGGTCTTAAGTGAAATGATTGTGTGGTGGGGTTGCTAAAAACAATCATTTCAGGAAGTGGTCTGGCATTCAGTAGATCAACAAGCAAGCACATTCATCCGAAATCAAACCAATTTTGCAACCACCTCCATCTTTTGACGAAGGATTAAAGAAAATCAACATATGTTTAATAAAGAAATTTTATTATCTTACAACAAAATACATTAAGATGGTCTTTAAATGAGCTTTTTGTACAAGGCATAACAAGCAGTCTGCCATAATTCCCGATCGACAACGCAACAACTACAATGAATGAGTATGGCATAAATCTTAAATATATTCTTTTTCTCCCCACAAACACACGTCATATACAGGATTTGTTGTCAGTCATACGCAAACACGAAACACCAAATTTTGTAACCACGATCAGCATCCCAAGTATGTGTTGTTGGTAAGACAAGGGAAGCGAGTTCTCCAAAGGAATTCGATTTAGTCCACACTGATACACCCAAGATAAAGGCCGTCTGTCCCCGGCAGCCATGTTGACACAGATGAGAAAATGAAGATGGATGATAAATGATTGTGTAAAAGTCTATGAACTCCACTGATCAAAGCTCATCGTGTGAATCTTCAGTCTGTGGGACAAAAAATATGGGAGTTAGAAATCGGTTTCCATCTTATCTCGCCCCGGTCCTTGTTTCTGTGCCGAATGTGCCAACACGTCCATGAGTTGTCGGTATAAGTTGGAAAAAGCTATCATGACGTTAAGAATACATCCAATCATTTTAGTAATTTCGGAAGGAAATTCTTCGAAAGTTAGTTTTAACATTTACCATGCGATCATGCAAATTATCAAAATTCGATGCAGCTAAAAAAAACAAACCAAACGTTTCGTCACATCTAGAAGTGCTGGTAAATTTCAATCTCAAATTTGTATTTGGACAAGGAACCGACAACACACACGAACTGCCATTAAGTCTGATAACGTCATCATGACCAAACTAGGATATAGACCTATCATCATGGCAGTGCAATTGATGGGTGGACACACAGGCAGAAGCAAGGACGCTGGGATAAAATACTCACAGCACAAAAATTGGTTAGTTACCATTCATGCAAACAGTTTCTGGTACTTTAAGAAAATATACCCAAAATTCTCAAGAAAAAGTACCCTACATATACAAGTTTTTGTTTTCCAATTATAACAAAGCCCTTAATGGTAACTCAAATATCATATTACGTTTTACAGTTCTGTCATTTGCTTTTCAAATGATACAATATATTGCAAGCTTATGAAATTGATACTTCAGTATTTTCTTGGGGATAAACGTTGAATCTTGAACTGTTTGAAAACATTTTTCTGTGTTTAGTTTGACAAATCTAGAAGATTCATATAAGTACATGTGACATTTCTATCCATTCCTTTTGTACAAACGAGTCAAAATGCTGTGTATCCATGGTAACCATGACTGATGTGAGGTAACAGGTTGTCATGCCAGGCTGAACCTACCTTTTCTTCTGTTTTTTCTTCTGGTTTGTCATCAGCGTCAGCGTTTATTTCCTCCTCCTCTTCAGCAACCTCGGCTTCTTCCTCTGGCTCCTCATCAATCTGGAGAAGATCAAAGTTATGGTCATAGGAAATCATGGAAGATTTGGTTAAGAAAAAAAAACTAACAAAGATCTGGTCATCATTTTTCTTAAAACATTTACTTTTTTAGAACTTTTGATACAGAAATCCTTTGATAATCATATCACGATGTTTTGGGTTCAAAACCACTTTTAACAGAATTCCAGGTAGACATGGAATGACAGCGTTATGCGTGAGGAAAGCTCAAAGCAATGCAGGTCTCAGACATTTACCACTTTGGTATGTCTGTTAGAGTGAATCGGTGTGTCTGACTGAGGGAGTTTGAATGTGTCTGTATGCTTGACCGAGAGAGCTGGGGGTCTGATAAATTGTTTTCTTTTTCTTTTCTTCTCCACTATGTATAGTAATGTTTTACATGTGGTGTCTTTTAGGCCTTATGAGGTGAGGTGAAATTGTGTTTAACGTCGTGCTGGAGAATACTTCGCTTATATGACGACATGCATGCATGCGTATGTGTATGTGCGGCTGCTTGTACTAGCCCAGACTGAAGCTGGGTTTATAGTGCTAGCCCACTGAGATACCAAGCCGCAGTGAAGCATGAATACCCCACTCAGACACATTATACTGACTCCGAGCCGACCAGTCCTTGTTGTACCCATTAATGCCGAGCGCCAGGCAGGGACCAACAAGTACCATATTTTAACGTCTTTTGGTATGACGCTGTCGGGGATCGAACCCGCGACCTTCCACTCTCCGGACGGACACTCTAACCACTACACCACAGAGGCGGTCCTTAGGCCTTGTGAGGCCCGGTTGTTACATACATATATGTTACTGTTGTATATATTCTGAAACAACATGACTCAGTAATAAACTGTTCTATTATTATTATTATTTGAAGCTCATGTGCATGGTGCTGACAAACCCAGCACCACATGATTTTGGAATACTCAAGGGGTGCAACTCTGCAGAACAGACTGTTGCACATTAGACAAGTGAGTGAGTGAGTTTGGTTTTACACCACTTTAAGCAACATTCCAGCAATATCACGGCAGGGGGACAATAGAAATGGGCTTCACACATCATGTGGGGAATCGAACCCGGGTCTTGTGTGGACGCTTTAATCATTAGGCTACCACACTGCCCCCTACATTAGACAACTCGACCACCCGTCCCCTAAGATGTCAAGTCACCAGGCATCATCCGACTCAGTAAAATACTTGCACACTATTTACTCACATTAATTTGATTTGTTCCATTATTTACAAATTTTGTGGATTTAATTTTATTGAACATTGTCTTATGTGTGAACTTAAAAGGTCAGCAATATTGCTTTGATATCATGGCAGCCTCGTATGCATGCGTGAGAGTGATTGAGAAATGGGTTTCACACATTGTACCCATGTTGGGAATCGAACCCTGGTCTTCAGCGTGACGAGCGAACGCTTTAACCATTAGGCTACCCCACTGACCCTTATGCATGGGTGAGAACAACAGAACGAGCACCAAAGCAGGGGTAGAAACAATTTGTTTGAATCAATTCCAGATTAGCTGTTTATGTAAAAACATTCCTCTGAATACGACCTGTGGTCGTATCTAACCCTGAATAGTTCTTCAATGTCCATAACATTCAGATTGTTTCAGATTGGACAGTGTTACTGACCTGCCAATGATGAAGAAATCCAAACACCAAATGATTAACTGGGGATTAATTACATTGAAATTGCCTGATTGCATACTCAGTAACATGCAAATCTGAAACCAGATCAGGGGTGGAAATAACCCATTGCCCGACGTCCGAGTCGAGTGTTTTTGTCTGTCGGGCAAGCATATTTGTATTTCACACTGTACCGGTGTCCAGTTGACTTTCCAATGTTAATTATGTTGTTTATTTAAAAAATCAGCAAGAAAACGGCCGGTATAGTGGAAAAATTATCAGGGCAAGTGACTTTATATGTGCCACTGTACCGGAGTACACTATCAATTTGAAAGTTATTTCCACCCCTGCAGATTTATCTGAGCTGAAACTGAGATGAAGACCAACAGCATCATCAACTCACCGCAGCATCGAGAGGAATGTCCAGACTGAGTCGCAGCATGCGCTCCACACGCTCAGCAAACCCGGCAGAATCCAGAACAGTATATCCAGATCGGACGGTTGCTGTCTCGAACATCACAACAGCCAGGTCCTTTGCCGTCTGATCATCCTTGTTGCTCTGTGGAGACAAAAATATCAAGATGAAATCGTAACAGACCTAATCATGAAAAGAGGAAAGAGTATTAAAACAGAAGTATTCATCAGCAATGTTCCAGCTAAATCAAGTAAGTAAGGGAAGCAGTCATGGTATCCAAAACATGAATTCTCTTCTGTGAATGGAGAGTCAAACACCTGAATTTTTAATTTCTCTTCAACAAAAGACGGACAGATTTCCCCCCAGGTTATTTTGGAATAATTTGTTTTCTTAAAAAATACTGCCCTACATATTCAGAATAATAGATCTGCTACAGTGCAAGTGTAAGAATGACTCACTTCGACTCGGCGTCTGAGCTCCTTGATCAAGGGATGGCGGGGGTTGACTTCCAGAGTCTTCTTCTGCTTGGCATAGAAGCTGTAACAACAAGAAACGTTACAGTTACATCACACAGAAACGAGGCCTTGAAGAAAATATAACATATCAAATTTTATGAAATTCTCGAGTGAGTGAGTTTAGTTTTACGCCGCACTCAGCAATATTCCAGCTATATGGCGGAGGTCTGTAAATAATCGTGTCTGGACCAGACAATCCAGGGATCAACAGCATGAACATCGACCTACGCAAATCGGGATATGGTGACATGTGTCAACCAAGTCAGCGAGCCTGACCACCCAATCCCGTTAGTCACCTCCTATGACAAGCATGGGTTACTGAAGATCAATATTCTAACCCGGACCTTCATGGGTCTATAAAATTCTTGAAACCAAGACGGTTATATTGTCTTAGATGTTAATCACTTTGGTGCAACACCTGAGCATGGGTATGGTACAGGCAAACCAATGACCGTAGAGGATCTGGGATTTGAACCCATAAGCAGAGGATCCTTTGACCACAGAGAAAGTTCCTCTTCTGTCGTCATTGTCATTGAACAAATGAATCCCAAGTTATCGTGACCTTCACAATCATTGTTTGGTCTTTTACACCACACTCAGAAATATTCCAGCAACGAGACAACAGTTTGAAAATAATCAGCTTGAACCTGAAAATCCAGTGACTGACATGACAGGAGTGGAAATAACCCATTGCCCGACGTCCGAGTCGAGTGTTTTTTTTTCTGTTGGGCAAGCAAATTTGTATATCACACTGTACCGGTGTCCAGTTGACTTTCCAACGTTAATTATTTTGTTTATTTAATAAATCAACAAGAAAACGGACGGTATAGTGGAAAATTTATCAGGGCAAGTGATTTTACATGTGCCACTGTACTGGAGTACACTAGCAATTTTAAAGTTATTTCCATCCCTGAATGAGCATCCATACTTGCATCAAAGTCATGAAGTAAGACCCATAGGTTCTTCTTATGACAAGCATATGGGTTGCCAAAGACCACTTCGATTCTTCACTGGTTTTACAAGCATTGACTTCCAAGGTCTAGTTGTGTACTTACTCCTGAGTTGGGTCCTTGGCTTTGGCGTAGGCTTGGGCTCTCATGATTCTCTCCATGTTGCCAGACCAGCCGAACTGACTGGCGATCAGGGCACAGGGGGATGTGGTCAGACGCTCGGACACGGTGGCCTTCTCAATCTGAAAACAGGCAGTCAGACATGATATATTCGAACACAGACAAGCAATGCTTACACCTTTAGCTGCTTCATATAAGTGAAACAAAACAGCACCTCAGACAACTGGGCCACCCAGAGAGTTTGGTTTTACAAAGCTTTTTGCAATATTCAAGTAATATCACAGCGGGACACCAGAAATGGGATCATACATTGTACCCATGTAGGGAATTGAACCAGGGCCTTCATGTGACAAGTGAACACATTAACCTCAAGGCTACCTCATCATCCCCCCATTGGACATGAATTGGACATGACATACAATATGCCCACTTGTGTATCAATTGAAGTTTGCTTCTGTATAGTGAGTGAGGGAGTGAGTGAGCAATATTCCAGCTATATGACAGCGGTCTGTAAATAATCAAGTCTAGACCAAACAATTCAGTGATCAACAGCATGAGCATCGATCTGCGCAACTGGGCTTCTGTATAGCTCACCTTATCCTTGAGAGCATCGTCCTTCATCCAGGTGAGAAGAGGTTCGAATTCCTTCTCCAATTCTTCCTTCCTCTCCTTCGACTTCTCCGAGTCATCTAGCTTCAGGCCGTCTTTAGCCACATTCTGGAACTTCTTGCCCTCGAATTCAGGCAGAGACTGGATGCAGTACTCATCTACAGGCTCTGTCAGGTACAGAACCTCGAAACCACGCTTCAGCAGACGCTCCACAAAGGGGGACTTGGTTACCTGAAGTCATGTCAAAATTGTTTCATTATTGATAATTCAAATCATATATCATTTCATACCCATTGTTTATATGATTACAGCTTAAACTGATCAACATTCAGACAAGAGAATTAACATCATACAGATTGACAATAGACATTGTGACCATTGTGATCTTCAAGGGTGACCTGTGTTTGATTTCCACATGAACTGACCTCATCCCTGCTGGTTCCAGCGATGAAGTAGATGGCGTCCTGCTTCTCCTTCATCCGTTCTATGTACGTTGCCAGTGATGTCATCTCGGTGTCAGAGTTGGAGGAGGCGAATCTCAGCAGCTTGGCAAGACGGGTACGGTTGGAGGTGTCTTCGATCACACCCAGTTTGATGCTGAAAATGCAAAGAGGAGCTTTAGGAATACACCAAATTAAAGCAACTTCAGGCTAAAAAAAGGCACATTTGGATAATCTTTTACGAGTGTTACACTAATTTCACATTTTTTTTGTCAGGATTTGGTTCACAAAGTTACAAATACGTTGGGTTCTGTCCAATCACTTTGAAGATGAAACTCTCCATTGAAGCACATAATGTATCAGGGTTGAAAATGTTACCAAGATATTATCTACACAAAATCAGGCAAAGATACACAAAATTCATGCACTAAGTAGGGCACCATTGTTTCAAGGCCTCACTATCACACCACAAATCCTCTTTAGCTCTTGGGCGATGGAATAACAGTCTATACACACCAATGAAGTATTGACAATGAACACAAAATGGAGTCCTTGAGATCGACATTTCATGGTTTCCCCTACCAAGTCTCAGAATCACTAGTACTGGTTACTTTTGTTTGGATCGTGGTCGTGTCTGAACCCCGTGTAAGTAGGGAGACTCACTTGGTGCTGTACTCCTTCCAGAAGGCATCGTAGTCATCCTTGGTCATCTTCTTGAGCATGTCCAGGGTCTTCCTCACCAGCTTCTTCTTGATGACCTTCAGGAGCTTGTGTTGCTGCAGAGTCTCTCGGGACACGTTCAGGGGCAAGTCATCAGAGTCGACCTGGAAACAGACAGGAAACCATGGTAACAGACTATGTCTGGTTCAAGGTACATTCTCGGAGTTCAGACTTGAGGTTCAGACTCGAGGTTCAGACCTGAGGTTCAGACCTGAGGTTCAGACTCGAGATTCAGACCTGAGGTTCAGACTCGAGGTTCAGACTCGAGGTTCAGAGACTAGGTTCAGACTCGAGGTTCAGAGACTAGGTTCAGACTCGAGGTTCAGAGACTAGGTTCAGACTCGAGGTTCAGAGACTAGGTTCAGACTCGAGGTTCAGAGACTAGGTTCAGACTCGAGGTTCAGAGACTAGGTTCAGACTCTAGGAGCAGACTCAAAGTTAGACTTAAGTCAAGCATGTTTTGGTTTCCTACATGGAGAGAGAAGCTGTCCCTCGTACTGATTAGTTACCAGCCAATACCAGTTTAGTCTTGATTATCAAACTAAGAATTTACACATTAAGTATTTGTATAGACCAGCTAAAGAGACTGATATTTCGAGTTTTACACCAAATAACAGCAAAATACCTGTTAACATTGCTGACTTGCATAATGTCTTATTGACTGTTATATAAACTAATCACTAATCACTAAAATATGCACAATGTGATAATCTGATTTATGTGTATTGAAGTGTCAACAACACTCACCACTCCACGGACGAATGAGAGGTACTTGGGCATCATGTCTTCGAAGTCATCGGTGATAAACACACGTCTTACGTACATCTGAAACCAGGATTGTTTTATGGTTAAAGCATGAGCATAAGGAGACAAGCCTCTCATAAAGCAGGTAGTCTTTCATGATGCTTTTCAGGATATGTGCTTTCATGTAAACTAAGATTCACCAACATATACTGGATTCACATTTTGCTAATACTGAATATTTGCTGAATCATTTCCAAATTGGTGTGCAAATAAAAAACATTCACTTAAATCACTCCACACGCCTTCTGTCAGTGAGGTGAGGTGAAATTGGGTTTAACGTCGCGCTTGAGAATATTTCGCTCATATGACGACATGCAAGCGTGTGTATGTGTATGTGTGGCTGCTTGTATTAACCCAGACTGAAGCTGAGATACCATGCCGCAGTGAAGCATGAATACCCCACTCAGACACATTATACTGACTCCGAGCCGACCAGTCCTTGTTGTACCCATTAATGCCAAGTGCCAGGCAGGGACCAACAAGTACCATATTTTAACGTCTTTTGGTATGACGCAGTCGGGGATTGAACCCGCGACCTTCCACTCTCCGGGCGGACGCTCTAACAACTACACCACGGAGGCGGTCGCCTCCTGTCAGTAGTGATTGGAGATGAAATTACGGGATTTACAGTAAGTCCACTGAGATGCTGTTTTAACCAATATGCCACAGACACTCACTCAGACACAGCAGATTGACTCCAAGACCACCAGTGAAGGATATATCCCTTTGTTGCCTAGCCCCAGGCTGGGTAAACACAAGTAACACAATCTGGTGGTTTGTGGACAGGAATTGTGAGTGAGTATGGTTTTACACTGCTTTTAGCAATATTCCAGCAATATCCCGGCGGGGGACACCAGATATGGACTTCACACATTGTACCCATGTGGGGAATCAAACCCGGGTCTTTGGCGTGATGAGCCAACACTTTAACCATTAGGCTACCACACCACCTTTGTAGACAGGAATCAAACCACTACCTCCAGTAAACATGTCAAGTTTCAGCTGCAAGTGCTCACCTTAATGGCTTCCAGCCTCTTGCCGTAGTTCTGGAACATGTCTGATGGCGAGGCCTTGGGGACATACAAGATGGATTTGAAGGTCACCTCTCCTTCTGCTGTGAAGTGGGTCCTAGCCATGGGGTCATCGGAGTCCTTGCTGATGGACTTGTAGAACTCGTTGTATTCACTGTCCTCGATGTCACCAGTTCTGCAGGAGAGACAAACCATCGTCATGTATATACCTTCTTGTGATAGGTGGGTAATATTTGAATGTATCTGCTCTCAAATGTTGAAATAGGAATTCATATCAAAAACTGAATATTTTTTTTGCATTCTTAGTCCATCATCACATTTTCATCCTTACAATAAAATACTTTAATCACCAGGCCACCCCATCCCAGTCTATAAGAATAAAGTAGTTGATCCCTACCGACTAAACATCACTTTACATAATACAAACAATACGATATCCCCATCTCATCAGCAATACGAAGCCTTGTCAACCACGAGGAAGAGAGTGAGTGAGTATGGTTTTAAGCTCCTTTTAGCAATATTACAGCAATATCATGGCAGACGACACCAGAAATGGGCCTCACACAATGTATACATGTTGGGAATCAAACCTGGGTCTTCTGCTTAGAAGAAACGCCTTAACAACTAGTCAACCCCACCACCACGTCAATTAGTGAACCACTCACTTCCTGGTCCAGATGGGCTTAACACTGTTCATGAGTTCCCAGTCCCAGACAGTCTTGCTGACTTTCTTGGTCTTAGGCTTATCTTCATCCTTATCCTCCTCCACCTTGCCATCCTCATCCTCATCTTCCTTCTTCTCTGCATCAGCATCTTCCTTCTTCTCTTCCTCCTCCTCTACAGGCTCATCAACCTCCTCAGTCTGAAACACATATACATTCTTGTACACACTAACCCCTTGGACAGAGCAACATCCTACAGGATTATCTTAAAAATATTTGAAGTATTTGACAGACACTGGACAATTGATCAAGTGGCTTCTAGATGGACCCACCTTGCTGGTCCAGAGATGGATGTTGAAGGTGATAAACTGGCTGTACTTCCTGACAATCTCCTTCAGAGTGTACTCTTCCAGGAAGTCGTGGGCCTCTTCCTTCAGGTGAAGACTGCAACACAAACAGTGGAGAATACAGGCTGGGACCATACACAGTTCAACTTATGGTGCTATACACCAGTGCTATACAAGGGAGATGATACGACAGTGCTATACTGAGGGAATCATACGACAGTGCTATACAGGGGAGATGATACGACAGTGCTATACAGAGGTGGTGATACGAAAGTGCTATACAGGGGAGATGATAGGACAGTGCTATACTGAGGGAAGGATACGACAGTGCTATACTGAGGTGATGATACGACAGTGCTATACTGAGGTGATGATACGACAGTGTTATATTGAGGTGATGATACGACAGTTTTATACAGAGCTGATACAACAGTGCTATACTGAGGTGATGATATGACAGTGCTATACAGAGGTGATGATACGACAGTGTTATACTGAGGTGATGATATGACAGTGCTATACTGAGGGAATGATACTACAAATGGTGCCATAGTGAGGACACAATGCCAAATACACTACCACAAGTTCACATGTCAATTGGATCAAAATGAACAAAACAATCATGTTAAACTCTTTGCAAATCACATCAGAGAACAGTTCTTCCCACGCTGACATTTCATATACAGGTGAGCTATGAGCTGAATCAGATGAGATCAAAGAACAGTTTCCCCCGGTAGGGACGGAAATGTCAGGTACAGCAAGCCTCCCTATATACACCCCAGCAGCCTCTACTCACTGCTAAACACAGGTGTCTGATGAGCAGCCCTGTACAGGCAGCAATCTCACACAGGTGAACACAACTTGGTGGTGAGGTGAAACAAGGTTTAATGTCTCGTTCAATATTATTCACTTATATAGTGTTGTACATATGGCTTCTTGTGCTAATCTGGACTAAAGTCTGTTTCATATTTAGTGAGTGAGTGAGTGAGGTTTTACGCTGCTTTAAGCAATATTCCAGAAATTTCACGGCGGGGTACACCAGAAATGGGCTTCACAGATTGTACCCATGTGGGGAATCAAACCCGGTTCTTCAGCATGATGAGTGGACACTCTAACCATTAGGCTATGACACCACCCCGTTTCATAGTGCTAGCCGAATGAGATACCATGGTGCAGTTTAACATGGATACCACACTCAGACACAGTATACTGATGACAAGCACATTTACTGACTGAGCTGACCGGTCCAGGATTTATCTCCTTAATGACAACTGCCAGGCAGGGTAACAAAAAGTTTTACACAGCTTCTAGCAATATTCCAGCAATATCACGGCGGGGGTACACCAGAAATGGGCTTCACACATTGTACCCATGTGGGGAATTGAGCCTGGGTCCTCAGTGTGACAAGCGAAACGCTTAACAACTAGAATATCCTCCCTGTTGAATACCGATATGATGACAAATAGAAAGAAGGTGAGGTAAGGTGAAATTGGGTTTCTCGTGGTGCTTGAGAATATTTCGCTCATATGACGACGTGCATGTGTGTGTATGTGTATGTGCGGCTGCTTGTACTAGCCTAGACTTAAGCTGGTTTTATAGTGCTAGCCGACTGAGATACCATGCTGCAGTGAAGCATGAATACCCCAATCAGACACATTATACTGACTCCGAGCCGACCAGTCCTTGTTGTACCCATTATTGCCGACCGCCAGGCAGGGGCCAACAAGTACCATATATTAACGTCTTTTGGTATGACGCGGTCGGGGATCGAACTCGCGACCTTCCGCTCACCGGGCGGACGCTCTAACCACTACACCATGGAGGCGGTCAAGAGAAAGAAGGGGTGGAAGGGAGGGTCGAGTTTGTCTGGAAGATGTTTTATAAAGTAGTTTGGTTATTACAGACTGTCAGCTTAATGTGACAGAGGTCATAGGTATTTTACCACATATACTACCCATCCAAAGTTTAGACACACCTAAAGCACTCACTATATCTTATGTATATATATATGGTTACATCGAACATGAATTTCTCCACTAACTCCACAAACTCAAATTGTACGAGGATCATGCATCAAATTGCTGAATAGCATGTGCAAATATCGTTCATGTGATAAGCTGCATTTTGGTGTAAAGTTTTGTTAAGAATTCGCCAATTTTCACTGATTTCTATCATTTATTGAACTCATGACAATAATCTTGTCAACGTTACGAATGTTTTTACAATACATTAGTTCATGTGTAAACAGTACCTTTAAACTGAATGGAATATTTTGCAAAATCAAGTTTAAGACAGCTGACTGAAGTAAGAGGCTACATTGACACTAGTGAGTCTAAACTTTTGATGAACCCAGGAGCTAACAAGAGAATAATTCAGTGACATGTGGTGAGCAAACTCAAGGCAAACACGTGGTTGACAGCATGAGCAATCGCCCATGCTTTTGAGGCATAGACTCAGTGAGCTTGGTCAAGCATGTGAGACTGGAGACTGATAGGGCTGCAGAATCCTGATGGAATGGGGGGAAAATCGTTGAAAAAGAAACAAATGATGAAAATAAACAAATCAAATAAATAATTAAAAAAATTGAAGATATAAACAACATTAAATTTAATATGACGTTGGTAACCATAGCATGTGGACAGGTATCCAAGACTTGTTTCACAAACATTTTCCTTATGTGACAGATTGTCTTACCTAACTGTGGTTCCTCTGCCGAGGGTATTTCCACGAGGATCCTTGGCAATGCTGAATTGCTGGGCATCAGACTCCCAGATGTACTGCTCATCATCGTTGTTCTTGGACGTCACCACCACGCGGTCCGCAACTGGGGAACAAAGGTCAAGGTCAATAATAAACGGGGAACAAAGGGGAAGGTCAGCAACGTTATGTATGCCAGGTGAAAGACCCAAGCACATGTGCTTACGTCTCTGTTATACAATTTACACTACGGCTTACTGTGATATGACAATATAAACATTGTGTAAATGCTTGTAGCATATCAATGGAACAGGTAGCGATATGGAGGTTGGTCTCCCATAATGCAATGCTGCAGCCAGGATTTCTTTGGAAGTTGCGCCTACCTTTCCAAAACTTGGGCCAATAACCAAAAGTGACAAAACTGAGTATAATGGTTATCATCAAATGCTTCTAGTAGTGAGTGAGTGAGTGAGTTTAGTTTTACGCCGCACTCAGCAATATTCCAGCTATATGGCGGCGGTCTGTAAATAATAGAGTCTAGACCAGAAAATCCAGTGATCAACAGCATGAGCATCGATCTGCGCCAATTGGGACCCGATCCTGTTAGTCGCCTCTCACGACAAGCATAGTCGCCTTTTGTGCCAAGCATCGGTTGCTGAAGACCTATTCTACCCCGGATCTTCATGGGTCTGCTTCTAGTATAAATACTATAAACACAATTGTTCTACTCACATTGTTTACTAAGTTCTGTGATTCAACGACAGACAATTCAAATATGAGCTCCTTACAGCAATTCACATTACAGTTTCGTATGCAAATAGACATAGTAGCAATGTGCAGAGCTTAGAAAGCCTTGTTTTGAATTCCAGAAGTTCTAATATTTTAATTTTGATTTCCTAACGTTTGACATTGCTTCAATGAATAGTCGTATTTTAAAATTAATTACGCGTCTGATATATAAAAACGCATCATAAATTACAAATTTGTGCCATTGTTGGCACATACATTTATAATAAAGCGCGCCAAGATAGGTACAATTAGCGGGAATCCCGCAATTACGCAGTCTGGCTGCAGCACTTATAATGGATGTAGATGGTGAATGAAAGGATAGATCTGTGTTCCTATGGTTATGGTTTTGCGGAAGTACTGGAGTAAGGGATACATTTTTCAAAATTCATGAATCTGCAAGTCCTTGTGACTGCAATTCCAGGCATTACTTTAGACACACACAAAAAAAGTATTATATAACATATCTGCCTACCCAGGAAGGATGAGTAGAATCCGACACCAAACTGTCCAATCAGATCACTGCTCTCAGTTGCCGACGCATCTCCCAGTTTGGCCAAGAAGTCACTCGTTCCCGATTTGGCAATAGTTCCAGATTCTTGACCAGATCATCCTTGGTCATTCCAATACCAGTGTCTGTTATGTGGAGAACATGGTTGTCCTTGTCGGCCTACAAAGAAAAAATATCTGCCATTAGTCTGAGAATCAAGATCTCGAATTCTGATACATTTAAAGATAATTTGTTTCTTTGCTATTTGAAGCAGCACTCATCAATCCAAGCTTTAAACCCAGCACTCGGTATTACCAGCTGTAGTATGGCCATCTAAGTTTGGACAAGACTATCCAGTGTTTGAAATCATGAGGATCGATCTACACAATTTGGATATGACGACACGCATCAACCAGCCGTGAGTCTGACTACCCAATCCTGCTATGCCTCTGCAAAATTCTAACACATATTACAGATTTGAAAGACGATACTAAAAAGTGAGAGAGAAAGGTTTCAGCAATATTCCAACATCACGTATGGGGACACCAGAAATAGGCTTCCCACACTGAACCCATGGTGGGGAATCAAACCTGGGCCTTTAAACACATTAAACACTTTAACCTGTGGGCTAACTGCCTTGGTATCAAAATAGGAGAGTTTCATCACGTTTACAAACATGTTTTCTTTGAACACAAAGCTTGACTTAAAAATATATTGTAAATGATTTTGAATATCATACAGTGTTTTCATGTTACTTATCATGCTTATGTCTAGTCTTTTTATCACTTCCCTGTACAAAAGTCATTGATGAGGTGAGGCGAGGTGAAATTGGGTTTAACGTCGGGCTTGAGAATATTTCGCTCATATGACGACGTGCATGTGTGTATATGTGTATGTGCGGCTGCTTGTACTAGCCCAGACTGAAGCTGGTTTTATAGTGCTAGCCCACGGAGATACCATGCCGCAGTGAAGCATGAATACCCCACTCAGACACATTATACTGACTCCGAGCCGACCAGTCCTTGTTGTACCCATTAACGCCGAGCGCCAGGCAGCGACCAACAAGTACCATATTTTAACGTCTTTTGGTATGACGCGGTCGGGATCGAACCCGCGACCTTCCACTCTCTGGTCGGACGCTCTAACCACTACACCACGGAGGCGGTCTCACTGGGCTTGGTATAAAAAAAGGAGAGTTTTATCATGTTTACATACATGTTTTCTTTGAACACAATGCTTGGCTTAAAAATATATTGTAAATGATTTTGAATATCATACAGTGTTTTCATGTTACTTATCATGCTTATGTCTAATCTTTCTATCACTTCCATGTACAAAAGTCATTGATGAGTTTACCATGCTGCGTACACTTTTCAATTATGTAGTACCATCCTTTACCATAGAAGCACTACTTGAAATAAGCAAATGGCATTTACAACTCCACCTCAATCCCTTCCTGGGACCTCATGTAAGCATGTGTGACCACCCAATACCCAATTAAGCTTTCTAAGCCAAACAAAGGGTCATTTCAACTCCACTGCAAATCCCATCCAAGTGCCATATTTACAGAGTTCACTGACAGCAAGAGCAATATGGATGCCAGTCAGAAACCAGGAAGCATGTGTGAACTAATCGCAGCATGTGTAACTAATTACAGCTGGAGTGTGCCCCTGATTTCACGATTCACTGCAGCTGGTGCATCTTGGGATGTTCGGCTCCAGTCAGATCCACCTGGTCATATACATTGTGTATTACACAGATCATTCACGACCTTCACGTTGATTAGTAAGAAGCTATTATGGAATGTTTAAGAGGACAGGTTAATTCCAAAAGTATTACTGGTAAGGATGAGATCATCCAGGTAATTCTTCTTTCCGACACGGAAGCAACTTTAGGAGTCGCGTCCAGTGGAGTTGGTAACAGGTTTATCATTAACAGATTAATATTGGGATTAGAGTGATTCAGGTTGTTGCCACTTTGGAAAAACTCACGAGGATGGTAATGGTGCTGACAAAAAGTTCATAAGGGTAAATCTTGGATCTTGACCAAAGATTAGCAGATCCTTGTACACTAAGGGAGGCAATTCTTTACAGCGAATTACAATGTTTTAGACCACAGCCTACTACATTAGTGAAATTGACTTCTTTGACTTGACTGACTGAGTTTGGTTTTACGCCGCTTTTAGCAATATTCCAGCAACATCACGGCAGGGGGCCACCAGAAATGGGCTTCACACATTGTACCCAGGTCTTCGGCGTAACGAGCCAACGCTTTAACAACTAGGCTACCCCACAGCCCCGACTTCTTGGTGAAGGCAGGAGACTTATCAGTTGTGCATGAAGAAACAGTAAACAAATATATATCTGACATATATCATGTGCCATATATTTAACGAGAATAAATGTTGATTCAGAAATAGTGGTAGTGTTCATACTCAGCAGTCAACTGGCCACCTGATCCCCATATCTGTCTCCAGTTATAAAAAGCATGAGATACCAAGAAGGTGAGTGAGTATGTTTTTAGGCCGCTTTTAGCAATATTCTAGCAATATTACAGTGGGGGACACTGGCAATGGGCTACAGTGGGGACACTGGCAATGGGCTTCACACTTTGCACCCATGTGGGGAATCAAACCTGGGTTTTGAGCATGACGAGTGAATGCTTCAACCACTAAGCTACCCCACCTCCCTACACGAAGAGAAAACTTATCACCTCAGGTACATCATGGATGTAATAAAAGACTGAATGTTGACTAGGAAAGCAATTGGCAGACAAACCAGTGGTTAATAGCATGAGCAACAATCAGCCCGGTCACATGACTACATATTCAACCAATCCTCTTTAGTAAGGGATACTGGGACCTTCTCCAGACATACACAAAAACATGGCCATTTTAATAAATTGGTTTATGAATGAAAAGGACAGGAAACGATCAACTTAAAAAGAGGCAACTTCAAGAACACAAAAATAAATTTGTTATCTATAAACAGAACTCCCTCAGCGTGATAAAGCCTCATTTTCAACTCTAGTACAGAATCAATCTATGTCATGGCCACAGTAAGGAAATAATTAATTTCCATGTCGCCATCCTACATGGACCATATGGTGTGGTTCAATCAACAGATTATTGAAACAGTTCCAAAACAGAAGCATCATTCCACAGACAGACTTGCTTTTCTTTTTTTCTGGGCATAATATCAAACAACATACCCTTTTATCTCGAGTAATATACGTACCCACCCACAATCTAGGCAGGAAATATTTACACAGAACGCTTTATTACAAGAATCGGCAATAAACACGATAAACAATCTGCCATAAAAGACATCTGGATGATCATTATGGACAATGTGGTGTCAGTTTAGCAGAAAATTTCTTCAGCTATATAATGTATATTCCAACACTGTTTAAGTATTTTCTGGTCGTTCCATGCATAGCCAGCAGAGTGTGCCATATGTACAAAGTTAATTATAGCTAGCTGTGAGGGAGATAGCATTTTTCAAACTGGGTTCCTGTCTGCTGCATAGGGATACATTACAAGGTGAGGAGGGAGCAGTTGATGCTATCTTCAGTTAGTTTATTACCTGGCCAGACGGTTGCTACTGAAACCTATAACATGGTCACTTCTGTTATCAAAATACTGTTTTCCTAACCTTAAATATTCAGTCAAAAATATTTACAATAAAAGCATTTCGAAATGAAATATTTTGTAAACAAGTGATTTTATTAAATTCATTTTCTAAATGACAGAGCCAGTTTTTAAGGATTTGTAATTCCATATTTAAGACATACAAACTTGGTGTTTTCCAATAGTCTTGGCATATAATGGAGGGAATCCAGAAAGTAGTTGCTATGTTGAATTCTCAGATTCAGTGCTTATCATATCATATTGCTCACATCACTATTCATAACTTTTCGAACATGAACATTTTCATTTTTTTCCGTATGTGAGGTGAGGTGAAATTGGGTTTAACGTCTGGGCTTGAGAATACTTCGCTTATATGACGACGTGCATGCGGTGTATGTGTATGTGCGGCTGCTTGTACTAGCCCAGACTGAAGCTGGTTTTACAGTGCTAGCCCACTGAGATACCATGCCGCAGTGAAGCAAGAATACCCCACTCAGACACATTATACTGACTCCGAGCCGACCAGTCCTTGTTGTACCCATTATTGCCGAGCACCAGACAGGGACCAACAAGTACCAAATTTTAACGTCTTTTGGTATGATGCGGTCGGGGATCGAACCCGCGACCTTCCACTCTCCGGGCGGACGCTCTAACTACTATACCACGGAGGCGGTCTTTTCCGTATGTACATGTAGGGTGCCCATAATACCGAATGTCACAAATGAAAGCACAATTAAAATTCAAGTTGTCTGAAAGAAGGTGGTCGGAAAGAAGGGGTCGTTGACCAGTATGTATACAATTTGTTTCAGTCACAATGCTGCATTGCTGAAAAAGGTATTTTGAATTCTGTGGCCAACATGAGTAATCCAGCTTAGGTCTCTAATATCAACAACCACTGATTTAACCACTTAGATATGCCACAAATCCCTTTCCTCATGAGAACTGGCAGGATTTAATTCCAATAGTGTTTATCAACATGCCGACATTTCGGTGTAGCTTTTATTTTGAAGAAACATTTATCCACATCTAAACCTTAAAATAAAAAATTATACAGATGTACTCCAACCTGACACAGCTGCAACAACAAACTGGAATATATCTGAACTAGAATAATGACAAATTGAGCCCCGATGGAACAAGTGGCTCCCCCTCGTGACAGAATGACCGTGAAAAGGTCAGACAACTCTGTGCAACACCTGGAAAGCAGCCTATATCCATAGCACAGCATCTTTCAGCACAGGTAAGAGTACACCCAAGACCTTAGAACAAACCCTCAGCAAATGGCACAGGTGCTTTCCCTCAAAGGCAGAATGTATTAAGTGCTCCGGTAACAAGACCAAAATGTTGCTCCATCTAAACATTTGGGCTGGTTATGGAAAGAAAGATGAGGTTAACTAATAAGAAATCTAAATGTGGATTCTAATTATGCCAATAAGGCTTGAGTCATGCTTTGGCCATTTCTGTGACAAGAGCAACCTTGTCTACCATAAATCATGACATGATAACAGGCGCCAATAACATTTCATTAACCATATCATGAGCCAGTTCTGGCATCAATCAACAGACTTGGTGGTAAGTCAAGGTGACATTTATCTCCAATGCTGATAAGTCTGCACTGAAACAAATCATTCCAGATTTTACATCTATTAAGAAAATAGGCCCTTTGCACAGTAGTCTACAAAATTCCTGCATCATACCCAAATTTCACTCACTGCACATAGTGTTTACAAGAAAAACATTTACCTTCCCAATGAAGCAGCGATGATACGTATCCCAATAACATGGGTGCGATATACCTATACTGTATGCATATTTCATAAGTTATTATCTCCTTTCTGTAGTATATCAGAACCCGGAATCATTGTTTTCTTAATCTCAGACAGTGAAGATGGGATACTGTAGAGAGAAACACCAGCTCGGTGGAACTGTGAAGATTCTGCTATTTATAGCCAAACTGGAAATACTAGAGAATCTGCATAAACACCATTGTATCATGGTACGGCTCCCAGAATATATCAATTTACAATTCCTGAATGGTAACACAACAAAGCATATAGTTGTCAGGTATACTGTATAGTGGCATCAGGTAAACTGTATAGTGGCATCAGGTAAACTGTATACTGGCATCAGGTATACTGATGTAAATACATGTGAATAACAGAAATGTAATTCTTCAAAAGGCATTTAGAAGTTAGTGCAGTAATACAAGACAAATCTTATGGGTAACAACTTCTTGATTTATTTTACACAACGTGAAGAAGGGGCAAGAACTAGCCCAGAAACGTAAAAAAAATAAATCAAGAAGTTGTTATCCATAAGATTTGTCTTGTAATAACAGAAATGTTCAAGAAACAGTTTACGCAGATTCTCTAGTATTTTCTGACTTGACATAAATAGCAGAATCTGCACTGAACCCCTTAGCCGACATGCTTCTGATATTTAAGAACAAATGATTCAGCGTTGTGATTCACCTGCGAAAGGGAGATAATATAAACTCATGAAATAAAAGTACTGTTCCTAATTATAGGGATCTGCTATGTTATCATATATCTATTTCAAACGCATTGCAATGTAAGCTTTGCTAATATACTTTGTCTCCATTTCAAAAAGAATCCTAAATAAGCAACACGATCCCTGCACACACAATTAGCTGAACTAGCGTACAGTGCATACACCTACAGCAAGTACAGGCGTGGGTATTCTGGGTTGGAACACAGTGAATCAGGTCGTGGATGGTAAGGAGTCAGTGCTGCCATGATGAATACAGAACACAGTGCAACCTTTGGCTGGAGTCCTGCATGGCCGACTCAGCTGGCAATAATGGCCAAGGCCAGCTTAAGACACATTGTGATAAATGAATGAGTGAGAGTGAGTGAGTGAGTTTAGTTTTACGTTGCACTCAGCAATATTCCAGCTATATGGCGGCGGTCTGTAAATAATCGAGTCTGGACCAGACAATCCAGTGATCAACATGAGCATTGATCTGCGCAATTGGGAACCAATGACATGTGTCAACCAAGTCAGCGAGCCTGACCACCCGATCCCGTTAGTCGCCTCTTACAACAAGCATGGGTTACTGAAAGCACATTCTAACCCGGACCTTCACGGGTCAGTGATTGAGACTCTGACAAGGTTGAGTGAACTTGTTTGATGTAACAGTAAAAAATATCACAGGTAGTGTCACGTCAGCCTGCCAATAATTGACCTTGGGGTGGCAAACAAGTGGTTGATAGAGCAACAACCTACCCTATTCGGGTCACACACTAAACACTTTATTGTTCAACCTCAGAATCACAAAGACAAATAGCTTTTGCCCCTAAACATGAAGGATCTGCCACCTTCTAAAAGGTTTCCTTTGCAGAAGTAAAGGGTGTCCTTGAACTTTGCTGCTAGGATATTCAAATCTATGAATCTCCTAACTTTTATGACAAAGACTATAACTTTCACCTGTTAAGTTGCACAACACTGGTACAGAAGTGGCATATCTAATAGCAGCTTATCTATTACTCATGTCAATCTGAGCAGTGCTGCAGAAATAAGTCCTCTTCTCTTGAAGAGACTCCTAAGCAGAAACCTGCCAAGCACAAATCAACATGGCGACAGTCCTGGCCTGGCACCCATCCACATGAAGATTCAGCAGATTGCATGTTTACATCCCTCTCTCATAACATGCACCCTCCACTGTCTATAGCAACACTTAGCAGGATGGCTGGCAACCAGGCTATCCTATCTCTCAAACACATGCCTTGCAACTCTGGGCATCAAATAGCATCTTAAAATGAATATTTCCAGCTGAAGAAGCAGGTTCCCATGATTATGAGATACATATTACAAGAAAAGAGTGAGGAAATAGACTGTTTCAGAATAAAAGGAGTTCACTGAAAGTATGGACAGGCATCTGCAGTTCTGCTTACACCCTCGACTGAAGGCAGACGTGTCAGTTTCTCAACTTGCCAGGTTGGCTGTCGATCAGATATTCATATCCTGTTGCCAGATGCCTCAAACTAATTGGGTTTTAATGAGATTAATCAAAATAATAGTTTATTCAGGACTAAAATAACAATGTCTTATCTAATGTGGAAGATTTCTTATGGACAACACAAAAAAAACTATGTATAACATTCACTTAAAGTTGTAGATTTGTATTTGAACATTTAAGAATTTTTTTTTATTAATTGACATATCGTAGGTGTCCATAAGTGAGTGAGTGAGTATGGTTTTATGTCGCTTTTAGCAATATTCCAGCAATATCACAGCGTGGGACACCGGAAATAGGCTTCACACACTGTGCCCATGTGGGAATAGAACCCGGTGTGACCCAGTGTGACGAACGATCGTTTTATCCACAAGGCTACCCCACCACCCCAAGTGTCCATAAACAAATTCACCTGAAATAAATCAGTAGTCATGACAGGTGTCAAAATGTTCCCACACTTTTACGCTGCTTTTAACAATATTTCAGCAATATCATAGCGGGAGACACCAGAAATGGGTGTTTGGCGTGACGACAGAACGCTTTAACCACTCGACTACCCTACCTCCACACTCAGAATGTTGTCTATACTCAACATGAATCTTCTTTAGTACTTACTTTTATCTTTATCGACAGTTCATCTGTGGCTGATAGTGCGCTGGTGTCTGTGAGTGCCAGGAACCGTATCTTGTCCAGGGCATCAGAGGCGTTGGAGATCAACTCTCTCAAGAAAATCTGAAAACACAGGCATAGTGTTAAGAAACCGTAAAGCGTGTAGTCACGCTGACTAGTTGCCACTTACACATTTATAGCATGAAATACTTAGTCAGCAGTGAGTCAGGACAGGTTTTTATTGTTTAATAGAGCTGTGACGATATATCGTAGTATCGATAATCGTGATACTGTATCTGACGATAAATATATCGATACTATTGTTCGTATCGTGATATGAATCGTTGACAAATTGTTAAATGTTCACTAGAAATTGACGGTTTTGTAAAAATTTACACTGTTACTTGCTATCAAAATATACTTTTTTAAAGATAGCATATCGTGATATACATCGAATCGAATTGTATCATTCCAAGATATCGCGATACGTATTGTATCGTGACATTTCCGTATCGTCACACCTCTATTGTTTAACGCCTCACTCAGCAATATTACAGCCACATGGCGGCAGTCTGCAAATAATCAAGTATGGTCTAACCAACCCAGTGATCAACAGCATGAGCATCGATCTATGCAATTGGGATACGATGACATGTCAGGACTGGACAAGATTCAAATTTATCTCCTAGGTACTGTTCATGGTCTTAACCATTTCTTTTCTCAGCCTTTTTCTCAAATAAACCTTGAAAAAACTAAGAAATATTGCTGTTTGTGTAGTTAACTGTGTTTAGAATGTAATGATGTCCAAATACCTAATATTTCCTTTAGAGGTACAATTTACCGTTTTGATGATATAATAATTTGAAAGCAAAACACATTTAGACTGCATGTATAAACACCAAGGATTTGCCTCACCCACAAAATTGCTGTATCCCAAGCAACCTAAATCACCTCATAAAAATACAATTATAATTGTTACCATGGTTACTGTAAATTATGCGTAAATGACTGAAGAATGTTTATGAGCCCTCGATTTTAGAGCAAGTTTATAAGTACCTCTGCTTATATTTTAAATGTATTTAATAAACACATGATACAATAAACAAAACAATAAACGGTATTGATTAAGTGCAAAGTGTTTATCAAAGTTTACGTGATCAACTCCAGTGTTTATCAGAATGAGAAGCACGTTCCAACCATGCATGCACCTCCATACATTAATCTGACAGGTGTTCCTGTCTGCTTATCAACGTCCTCGAGGAATGTGCATGATGAAAATATGAAACTTACTTTGCCACACAAAATGTTTCATAAGAGACTGATAAAATGGTCAGGGCAAGTATATTTCGTAGAAATAAAACCTGCGTTATGTTGTACATAAAGAGTGGAATCCCAAACCATTTCCTGAATCTGTTAAATAATATAATGCTAAGTCAGCAGTTTAGTAGAAAGGAGCAATGAATAAAAGATTGGGTATCATGAAAATATGAATGGATATTTTTCTAACATTGTAGCAAAAGTCTTACAACAAAAATATCCCCTAAAATATTCATGATCCCAACTTTATTTGTTTAGTATCTTAGCCAACAGATAATGCATTAGACAACTGACTTAGCAGTTACCATGGTTTTGCTGCAATACTGTTTGTGAAAAAATTCAGCAAAAGTATCAAATGTAATGCTTGCATATACTCTCCTTGACTCTAGCTAATAATACAACTTTCTTACAAAATGTCTGGCATTCCAAAACAGAGCCTAGTAGGTAGTGAAACAGACGCGAACATCTACATTCTGATATCTGTATATACTTGATCTCATTCAAGAATTGAAGCAAATTATAGCAAGTCAAAACAGTAGCATTCAGTAATTAGGAATTCCATCATCGGAATGTGTGCTGCAGCAGACGTCATTACCAAAACAGTGTCAGAAGTCAGGACGAAGCATCTGCAAGCAGCATTGCTCTTGACTGGGCAATCAAGAACTGACCTCAAAGACAAATACTGGGTAAAGATTTTAACCTTTGCCTTAAGACAAGATGCTTCTGCTTCCAACAATTATGTTTTTTCAGAATCATCTCAGTGAGTTATCCGTCACAAGTTCAGTAATGTTTGGCAGTAAATCTGGTTGTCAAGAAAATCATTTCCTGGAAAATTTGTAGAGGTACATCAGGCAGAAAGAATTTCTATGCGGGTGTGCTCTTCTTTCATGCCTAATTATCGGCAATTGGAGTTAATTAATGCAAGCAGACGTCAATTTGTGTGATTGTTTGGACAGATATGTGTTCAGTGATCATGGACAGTCTGAAATATTCTAAATGTGAGGCTATTTTTTTATGACTCTGTATTGTTCTTGCAAACAGTGTCAAGCTTTTACAACCACAGAAAGCAGTATTTTATTGTCCTATAACTGATGCCTGGTTTCAACACTGTCATCAATAGTATTTCATGGTGCCAGGTTTATGTTGGAACAGTAGCTAAAGCAAGGAGGATGAAAGAGATATTGGGTTTTAATTTTACATCATCTTGGTAACAGTGCATGGGTGAGGTTTTGTCACTTTTAGTAATATTCCAGCAATATCACAGTGTACCCATGATGGGGGAATCGAACCTGAGTTTATGGTGTGACGAGTAAAGTTTTAACCACCAGGCTACCCCACCACCCCTCATTTTAGTAATAGCCGACCATAGCAGTTTCACATTTTAGTAATAGCACCATAGCAGTTTCACATTTTAGTAATAGCCAACCATAGCAGTTTCACATTTCATAGCATTTTAGTAATAGCCGACCATACCCATTTTAGTAATAGCCGACCATAGCAGTTTATCACCTTTCAATGTTTTGTAGAACCAGAATCAAACCCAGTGACAAGGGTTTCCCAACAGCTGAGGGCCAATGTGGGTGTGTGACCCCTTGACCAGTGGTATCAAGGGTATTTGTCCATGAGAAGTATTTTTGATTTACACCACTTTAATCTTTAAGCAGTATCACTGCAGTGCAATGCACAAGATCAGGGTCAGTTGCCAGCATCCTTTACATAGCTGCCATTGTGGGCACCCAATCCCCATGTCTACAGTGGCCCTCACGAGGACTGACATGTCTGTCTGAGGGATGCACTGAGAATTATCTTAAAGAGCACCATGAGCAACACGTTTCATAACACCCGACTCCCAAATCTGTGTCAAAGAGAAAACCATGATCCTAAGTACAAAAAACCAACTTACTTCTTTGTTTTTGTAGAGGGAGTTGATGATGAGTTTCATCATACGATCAACCTCCGCTTGGAATTCAAACTTCTCCGACTGCTCGCGCAGCTCTTTCATTTGAGCAACATTTAGTCCGTCTATCTTAATGGCTTCCTCCTCCCTGAAGAGAAACAAACACAGGTTAGCATGGCCGGTCAGATTGTTAACTTCAACATCTGAAACTCTAAAGCTTGACATGTATGGATGTTTTTGATTTAATGTCATGTTATTCCTTATTCTTGTGGAGTGAGTGAGTGAGTTTAGTTTTACACCGCACTCGGCAATATTCCAGCTATATGGCAGTGGTCTGTAGATAATCGAGTCTGAACCAGACAATCCAGTGATCAGCAGCATCTTGTTGTGGAACGACCTGTCCACTATTTGGAAAGGATAGGTCTAACCAGAGAGTGATATCATGAGCAACAATTCCATCTTTATGCCACGGGTTGCCAAGGATCAATTCCAATGGACAGACACACAAACTGTGCCATGGGACCTCACATTGCATGCGGGAAGTACAAGGTGGAAGATGAAATATGTGTTTAAGATACCAGGAATGTTTCAGCAGAAAACAAATAAACAGTGCAAAAATATTCATGGAAGAGGTATTGCCTGAGTTATTAGATTTATTTCCACTTTGAAAGTTATTTCAGGTATATTATGAAGGCATAACTTAATTGACGAGGAAAGCCACAAGTGATAACTCATAGACATTGACATTTTGGTAATAGTTACAAACAGATGAAGGATAATAGTCATGGCAATGCAGTTAGATTCCAAACTAACAACCTGCAGATCCTTGCATCAGTAGGGGGGACAACTCAACATATAAATTTTTACACCCACAAATCATGCCTCATTAAGACCAAATGTTTTTAGGATAGTCCTTGCTTACAAATCATGGGAAAGAAACTGCCCCCAGTTTGATGAACAAGACAGTCATAGTGTCAGTTTTCCTGTCTGACAAACTCGCTTACCCTCCACCAGTTGTTTCTGTGTAACCTATAGCTCCACAGACACATCAATCACTTAGTAACCAACACCAGTTCTAACCACCAGTAGCTCTCCTGTACAAGAACACACTCAGCCTTACTCTGTACTAACACCCGTCTACATACTGATGTATATCAAAACTCTCCATTGCTACTACAAATAAACTTTTCAAGCAGGTAATAAACATCCCCTTAACATTTGTAGCTATTTACTCTTCCGCGGTAGTTATTTTTGAGTTGAACTGCAGTGGATATCAGTTTTGCTGCCGAGAGTCACCCCAAGGCCCCATGCCCCTTGGTGAACATAAGAAAGATGTCCAGAGCAATGAAAATGGCCATACAACAGCATGATGGTTTATTTTGTTAGCAGACCAATATAAACACATGTATTTCTCCTGAATGACCTTAGCGCCAACAGACAGTCGTGTAATGTTGAGAATTACGTACAATGGTAACACCAGCATTGCAAGCATCTGGCAGAGTCGTAGCTATTCTGAGCGTTAAGCAGTCGATACTTTTGGAGTTCAGCTGGGAAAACCATTTTAACTCAGAGTTTGATAAGATAAAGCTTTGTAAGTAACATTATTAGGCATATCCTGTCTCAGGCTGGTGGGATTCTCTAAGTAATTGAAAGTGGCGAAAACTTTGAATCATGCAGGTCATTGTGGTGGATCATCCAAAACATCTACATCATATGTAGGACTATCGGTGATCCCCAGGTGTGGAGCTTCAGGTCTACTGTTAAACACAAAACTGTTATGTGGTTCTGACTGCCAGAAATGTCAATTGCAGACAACTACCTTTTTTGTGCTCACACATGAAAAGATACACAAGATTACAGATTTTCATCCAGAATGCCTCTCAAGTCAAGATACGAATTGTGTTAGTTGACAGTTCTTTCACAAATACATAATGAACAAGTCAATAAAATTCCTCCTGCCTTGTACTTATTTTAAATTCATAAAAAAGACATCCACTGATTGTTGTCCAACCAAAGTCTTAGGAGTCCTAATACTGAAAATGTCACAAATTAGAAATTCTTCCATGTCTGCAATTAGCTGTAATACCTAATGATCTGTAAAGCATGCTCCGATTACCAAGACAAGGGCTAATTGGTATCCCATGGATTACATGTTCCTTTCGAATCCCACAGCACCTTAGTAACATTTTTGCAAAGTCAGATACACCATATTCTAGACAGTTATGTCAACTGATCCAGCAAAATATATCTATGAAGCATCGTCCTGGTGGAAAATGTTCGGTAAATTAATTCACTACCAATTAACTCACACATCCCATAAGTATACACCGCTGAGTATAATCCCTCGCGTCAAATAAATACTCAATAGTAACCAGTAACTACAGCAACCAGTCAGTCACCATGGATACCAAATGATTTACATATATTTCCAGTTCAATACTCTATTGTAGTCAGTAGGGTTTCACATCTTTTTTTAGAAGATAGTATACAGGACGACAACAAGCGACTGAAAAAGCATATCCTCATGTGGAATAAAACAATTTTCTGCTTGACAGGCCACAACTTACCACAAAGTGACAAAGATGGTGAAGAACAAATTTGTTGTTTAACTCTTTCAACACCAGTCAACCAGAGGCATTTACTGCCATGACACCGAGTTCCCAGAGACTCTGAGGTCATAGATGAAGCCTATATTTGTGAAGGAAATTATAAGCTTGTAAAACGTTATTGCTACTACATCCCATACACCATTTAAAAGATCTAATCCTACTGTTGATAAATATGAAGTTTATTTTTATAATATTATTCAAATAATACAACTACAACTTAAATAAAATTATATTTGAATGAAAATGCAAGCTTACATTTATAATGTCCAGATAAACCACGAAAAGAAGCAAAAACTATGGCAATTTTTTCCATTTGTGACATGTCATAACATTGCCCGTGCCTTTTTCTTTTATATTTTCATTTTTACGTAATCAGAAAATTATTATAAAAGATTTCTTAAATAATATGTATGGTAGCCTTTTTCCCGATATCTGTGGCTTTCCGGCTCGGTAAAATGACATAACAACTGAAAATACCTCCGTTTGAAGCTTCTTATGAATAACATGGGAGGCTGCAAATCGTTTGATGTCGGGCATCGTTCGAAAGCTCTGAACATCAACAATATCACTGTACCCTTGCCAAGAGTATTTTCACAATTGTAAGAAGCGATTTTATTGGATAAAGATTGGTTTCTAATGACGCTTTTCGCCACAGTCTGCTATAAGGGTTGTGATTGGTCAAAATCAGACACACGGACCTAAGGCAGCCAATCATATTACGGCAATGGATACCGTCCTCGTAAACGAAAACTTTTAGATTTAGACAAAAGTTTTGGGTAAAATAATACTATTCTGAACATATTAAGCAAGAAATCGCTACCTATACGTAAATTATGGAACTTATTGGACGTATCGTGCTAGGTTATGACCTGTGACAAAAATGCTTCATGCATATATTTTCGCATTAAACATCGTGTCCGAGCTTGAAGATTGAGGCGGCGAGAGCCGAGATGTCACTTGTCAGTGACTTGACTTGCATTACATGATCGCACAAAAAGATGGAAAAAGTAATTTTATATGTAAGTTTGACAACTTTTATGAATGCTGTTGTTGATTTTATTCATTAGTTTATTCTATTTATTTAATAATTTCCTCGAAACATCGTTACTTTGCTCTTTGACAATGTTATTGTGGACCCGCTCCTCGAAGCATGTGTCCGAGAATCGTTGTTTTCAATTATATTGTGAAAAATAGTTTATAATTTTAATTCTGCTGATAATATATGATAAATTGAAATTTAATAAGTGTTTTCAGACATTGTGAAATGTGATAGATTTGATATATGAATCAAAAGTCAGGTAGGTTCCTAAAATTATGTCTCATTTTGACGTGACTACTGCCTGGCCGATTAATCGGCCTCCGGTGTCTGGGGACTCATAAAGTTGTGGCCGATTATTCGGCCTGCGGTGTTGAATGGGTTAAAGCTGCACTCAGCTAATTTTCAGCTATAGGGTGGCAGTCTGTAAATAATCGAATCTGGACCAGACAATCCAGTGATCAATAGCATGAGCATCGATCTACACAACTGGGATACAATGACGCGTGTCAACCTAGTCAGCGAGTCTGACTACCCAATCCTGTTATTAGAAAGATGGATTTGACACCACTTTATACAAGCTGATGCAGGCCTTAGACAATTTAAACTTTGTTGAACCCACTAGCACAGCATTATGTTGAGAAATATCTGGATACTGAGTCCCCTCAAAATATATAACTGTCTGGTTGCTTCTTAATTGCATGTAAATGAACTGTCAAGAGCACATCACATCTGAAAGAAAGGTAGATCAATGCTATTCTCCTACAAGATAATCATGAATCATTGAATGAGTGAGTGAGTTTAGTTTTACGCCGCTTTTAGCAATATTCCAGCAATATCACAGCAGGGGACACCAGAAATGGGCTTCACACATTGTACCCATGTGGGTAATTGAACCTTCAGTGTGACGAGCGATAATCACTAGTTGAACTATAATATCACTAGCCATGGGATAACAGGCCTCATGTATTCCAGTACTGGCTTCAAGATATAAAGCTGCAAGGAAATCTCTCATTGTCCTAAGACCTGTGCGTTTATTGTCTTCAGGTGGAATACATAACCACAAATGTTCTAACTCTGAGATCTCTGCACCAATGTATATGCCATGCTGTGACACGGTCCAGGTAATACCAGAAACACTACAGGCCATATAACCATTATCACCGTTGGAACTGGTACTATATTCCACACAACTATTACTAGTGTCAGGAATGGTACTATATATTCCACACAACCTTTAACGGGCATTACACAACACCAATATCAGTATCCAAAATACTATTATATTCTACACAAACATTTTCATTGTCGATAATGGTACTATATTCCACACAACTATTACTAGTGTCAGGAATGGTACTATATATTCCCCACAACCTTTAACGGGCATTACACAACACCATTATCATTCCACACAACTATTACTAGTGTCAGGAATGGTACTATATATTCCACACAACCTTTAACGGGCATTACACAACACCAATATCAGTATCCAAAATA